GGGGTGCACTGGGGGAGGGGGAAGAGAGGGTGAGAGTTCTTTTTTTCCTCCTCGTCTCTGTTGTCATTCTTCTCTGCCATCCTGAACATCCATCTGATGAGTGTAGATCAATCAATCAATCTCGTCTGTTCGCTTTGCTCCCTGCCTGCTGCCATTTTCTCTTTAGTTTAATTTCAGAGATGGCTCTGTACAGAACTCCCTGGAGACTTGAGCTGACTAATCCCCCTTCACTGTAATTAAAGTGTGAGGGGGTGGGAGGGCAGCTAGTGGTGGTGGAGAAGGAGGGAAGAGGAGAGAGGAAGGAAGTCATAAATGGGATTTCTAAAGGAAAGCTTTTATATTGAATTCAGAAAGCCACATTTTATAGAAAATGAACACTGACCCTCTCTAAAAGGATTTGCTGGAAATTTAATTTAGCATCTGTGGCTAAAAGGCACCTTTTAAAAATTGACATTTGTATTCATTCACCTTATGTTCTGTAAAGGTGGTTTCGGCCACTTGGAATATGATGTGTCCCTCAGCAAAAGATTGGAGAACAACATACAGAAACTGCCCAGCCACCTTGAGTGCTTTGGTATCTAAATAAGAGACCATAGCCTTCTACAGGCAGGGCCACGTATTGGTAAGAAGTCTGGAGCTAGTTTCCGATAGCTCGTAAAAATCAGAATAATAGCAAACATTTCTGCAGTGTGCTGCCAGGTGCTATAGCCCTTGCACTCAGCACTTCCTGTGAATCATTTCAATGCTCACAACTACCCTACAAAGGAAGTGCCACTCATATCCCCATTTTAGAGATGAGAACTCTGAGGCCCAGATTTAAATTGCTGTCCAAAGTCAGAAAGCACAGAGCCAGGGTCAGACTCAGGCAGTGTTTTATCAGAGCCTGAGTTCACACCATTCAGCTTAAGCAAAAGCACAAGAGCAGGTACAAGGAGAGGGAGGGGAGGTAAGAGCTCCACCAAACCTGGGAGCCCATGCCGGCCACCCTCCCTTGTGTCACTGTCATCGCACCTCCCCAAAATTATTGAAAGTAATTAAAATAACGTTCCTTCTCATTCAAGAGGATTAAAACTACTGCTGGCACTGTGCGAGCTTTAATTTCATGCTCATTGTGATTATTTCTCCTTCAGTATTAGTATTTGGGATATTGCTCAATTCCACCTCCCAGACATGTTGTGAAAGGCAAGAATCTAAAATTCCAAGGGAGGAACTAGAGCTGAACCCTGCCCTGGGCTTTTGACAAGAGCCTTCACATGGCTTCCTAGTCGGTTTGAGTCACCTCTTTTGCTTGGTCCTCTTGTAAAGGGGAAAAATTCATATGAGTTGGACAAATGTCATCTGTAACAAAGTTAAAGAGAGAGGTAGCTTGGGGCCAGCCGGCCAGTATTAAGAAAGAACCAACCTAATACAATCTTCCAAATGGGAAACCTCTGACATTTTTATTATCCTGGAAATTAATCAGCTCGGTAAGGATCTGACTTACCTAAACGTCATTGATCTCCTACCCTGGATTGGAACCCATGGGGATTTGTTTGCACTGATCGATGACCCGCCTCATGCACCTACACTCCTTAGCTCGTAGCAAATCCCTGTTGCCCCAACTTCCAGGCCTCACTGCCAACAAGACCAAACACCTTCCAAACAAAAGGCAAACTCAAAAAACAATTCTGCTTCTCATGGCACACAAAAGAACTGCACCTTAGCCTGTGGAGGCCACCACAGCACGCCCTGCATGCACTTCCCATGGACACACCCTCTATTGCCAGGTTCCAGGAAACACTAACACCCTGGAGGCCAGCTGGCCGTGGAATCCCCTCCTTTCCTTCCTGCTGTTAGGAACCAGTAACCAGCTGAAGGCCCACTGCCGCCCACCTCCTTTCTGTTCCTGGCATAAAGCAGCTTTGCTTGCTGAATAAACAGATCTTACTCTCCCTCCTAGGATGGAGGTCCTTCCCGCCAGCTTAGGGCTCCTCCTCCCCCGCCTTCCTATCTCACTTTTTCTAACTTCCAGGCTAAGAGGAGGCTGTGTTTTCTTCAGCTCAGAGATCTGAGCTCTGAAACTCAAAGGGGAGAGTCACATGACACTCTCTGTATCTTGGGCCCTGGAGCCTATGAAAATGTGTACAACCCACTGTATGATACATGTACACAAAGAGAATTACATCAAGATTAATAATTTTAAAACAAAATCACAAAAATCTTTTCAAAAACTTTTCAGCAGAAAAACAAAATGTGTCTTATGTAGGATATTGATTCCTTTAGCTTGTCTTTTAAGGATGGGATCTGGGGCCCCCTGAAATAGCCAGCATGTCCAGCGGCCCCAGCCTCCCAGAGATGTGTGCCCACGCAGTGGCAGGAGGGAGGCAGAGGGGTTAGCTGCATTTGGCCAGCGCTTGGCAATGTTCACCTTATGCTAAGTGGAGCGTGGTCAAGAGCCCTTCAGCTCTCTCCAGGGCCACTCCTCTGAGCTGGCACTCAATATTAACTGGCCTGACGCAGAGTACTTGAAAGTGAAAGTCCCAAGATACTACTGGCAGATTAGCATGTCCAGAACCAAGCATTTAAAATTTGCATCAGAAACACAAGTCTATGATAAGCTGGTATGACTGAAATTCACCTGCTACTAATTCTAATGACCTAGGATTGTAGGGAATGTGGACATGGGAAATCTCTGACAGAGAGACCTTGAGTAAACACCTTCATAAGCCCCGGGATAGCCTCAGTTTGCCTCCCCAGCGGTGGAATGAAGTTCAAGTCATTTAACCGAGGGATTCCCATCAGAAGTGGCACATGAACGCAGACCCCTGCAGGGGTTCTGACTCAAGGGCAAAAAATTGATCTGGAATCACAGCTGCCAGCAGAGGAAAGCCAGGGAGTCCTGGAACTGGTTAAAAAATCTTTTCAGATACCTGAATCAGTCAGAATGCACCAGATGTCACTGAACTTGGGAAGGAGAGAATTGCAAAGGTCTGGACTGGATAGCAACCTATTTAAGTAGGAGAATGGAGAGAAGGTACGCCCTTTTGTCTGTGCCCTGCTCACCCCAGCTTGTGCACACAGTGGTATTGGTTTCAGGCCCACCATGCAGTGGGTTCTTTAATGTATACTTAGGAAGGAAATAAGAACAGCCAAGAGGTAAAGGCAACAGCACATCTCAGGCACTGCAGATGGGGCACTGAGAGTAAGAAACAGTTTCAAGCCAGCTGTAACTCATGCTAGCTAAAGAACTAAAGTGTACAAATGAGCACCCCTTGGTGAATCTGGGTAGAGTAAGGATTGTCACTGTAGTACTGACTGACACTCTCCCTCTCCTATGTACTGAAGTTTGCTTGAGTGGGAAAGAAAGGGGCAGAATTTCTATTAAGAAATAGGCAGTTGCTTAGAACCCTGGGAGCATCCTTTGGGTGTGACCCGGCTATGGAAGGGATGAGGCCCCCGTTTCTCAGCAGGGTGGAGGGAAACGCTTCCCTCAGCTCCCAGGGGGGAGAGGGATGTCACACTGGAAAAAGGAGCAACTGAGGTTTTGTCTACTCTGGCTGGCCAGCAGCAGCCTCACCACTTTACTCTGTGACTGTGTTTTTTCTCTGACCCCCTTTCCCAGGCGCCTCCACTCCAACCACCTGCACTGTGACTGCCACCTGGCCTGGCTTTCAGATTGGCTGCGACAGCGGCGGACAGTTGGCCAGTTCACACTCTGCATGGCTCCGGTGCACCTGAGGGGCTTCAACGTGGCGGACGTGCAGAAGAAGGAGTATGTGTGCTCAGGTGAGGTGTCCACCTGCTCCCCCCTGCCGTGCTCGGAGTTCTCCCCACCCTCTGCCTGGTCTCGAGCCCACATCCTGACCCAGAGCTTGGTGTGGGAGGAACCCTATAGGTTGTCCCCCCGTACTCAGTGGTCACTTAAAGAACTCTGGTGTGCCTCAAGAGATTTAAAGGCAGAAGCTCTTGTCATCTGGTAAAGAAAAACGCTAAAGGAACTCATGATTCCCTTTCTAAGCCCCGTAATCTATGGATGCAAAGAAACCTAATGTTTGTTAAGCCGCACGCAGTACAGAAGCAGGCATAACAGAGGAGTGTTAGCATTTTCTGAGCACGATCTTGTTATGCATTGTTCGTAGAAATTGGGAGACAGGATAATGTAAGCTGTGGCGTCAGCCTGCTGGGCTGGAAATCCAGGCTCTGCCCCTCACTGGTGTGTGACATTGGCAAGTTTCCACTCGTCCGCAAAATGGAAATAATAATAGTACATAACTCAAAGGATGGAGGGGAGGATTAAGTGAAGTAATGCATAGAAAGCACTTCACATAATCATAGCACTTGGTAAAAGCTAAATAAGTGGAGCTTAATTATTGTAGTGTAGTGGGTCCGCAGAATGTGCTGAGCAAACATGAAGAGTTTGATCTGTGGGTAATTGAAGTGTAATAGAAGCGCAGATTGTCTGCGTAATACAGAAAACAGAACTCCGCAGACAGATAGCTGAAGGCAGCTTGCATCTCCAGGGATGGGAGGTGGCTGAGGGACTCAAGATCTTCCCAAATGATAAAGCTCTTACATCTGGTCCTACATTTTGTTTGCTTGTTTGTTTTTACTTTTCATTGACGTCTTCCATTCCCATCAACTCTTTCTTTCTCTGGTGGCAAAGAAGTAGAGCTAATCCCTTGACTTCCTAAAATTAAAAAAAAAAAAAGAAAGAAAGAAATCATTCAGTTGAGCTTCCCAAAGAGGTGGGAAACCCACCAGATTTTCAATTTCCAAAAATCCAATTTTGGAATTGGGGGCCCAATGGCCTCTAAAAGCTGAGCCTGGGGAGTTGGTGTTCAGGAGAGAACAAAGACAGCAGGGAGATTAGCCCCCGGGGGGTCTTAACTGCGGCTGGCCTTCAGCACTGAGGGTTTTGAAGCCCAGCGTCTATTGTCTGGCCCCAGTATGGCCAAGAGTGCAGACGGGCCCTTTTCTGCTCTTAGATGATGTGTGCAATTCACAGGAATGTTTCCTGAATTCAGCTTCTTCTCTGCTTCCTCCTATCATGATACTGCTCATCACGTTATTATCAGAAAATATTTTAACGTGTTTCACACAGTACCTGAATAACTTCCCAGAGACACCCACTTAGAAATCACTTCCCATCAAACCTATATAATAAAACTGTTTATCATGCAGATACCAAATTCAAATGTAGTTACTATAATTACAATAATTATTAGGTAAAGGGTACAATATCGGCATAAGTGCCAGTGAACGAAATAATTACAGAGTGCAGGAGTCAGCCAAGAGCTAGGGAGAAAAACTAATTAGAGAGAATGTTAAAACACACCATTATAGGTGGGTGCCGAGTTTAACACAGTGCACAACCGTGAACGCCACATCTTCGGGGGAGCACTTTTCAGTCAACAGAGCAACAAGACTTTGCTTATCCAAAGACACTCAGGTTCCAAACCCATGGGAGAGAGGCTGACCCCCTTAAGTCCTAGAAAAGTAATGCCTCACACCTCCTTTCTTTGAAGTCTACCTCTAGCAGATAGGTTAATACGTACACAGGACTTTGCTTATCACCTCCTATTTATAGGAGTTAAGCCCGTTGCTTCTGATGGATCTTGCAGCTTCTGAATATAAAGCCAGGTATCTATTTGAAGATTTAGTCCAAAGACTCCAGACATCCATCCTCTCACCCATGGCATGAATTTAGGGCAGTGACATATTGGGACCCTGACGCATAAGGGATTATTTAAGTGCTTTCCCAGGCTCCCTCTCTCAGGGGTAAAAAACGTTCTGAAAAGGCCAAAGTTACATGCAGTGCTCTGGGGGCCCAAGTGCATTGAATGTCTGTGACGAATGAACCCCCACCCATTTGCTAGTGGGGTACAGGAAGAGCACACTCTCCAAAAACTGCTACTGTCTCTTAAACAATTGTTAAAGGCACTGTTGAGTCCAAAAAAAGTGTCAGAACACCCTTTGGTGGAGGAAGGCTCATGGTGTGAGCGTGCAGCCAGAACATCCATGGTCAGTCCCAGAGCCCTGTAGAAGGAGGTTAAAGAGGGGAGCCTTTTTCCTTAGACTGGCCACCCCCCACATGCTGCCCCTGATGGCATAGGTCTGCCCTGATGCCAGAGCCCAGCAGGACATCTGAAGAGGCTGTTTTGAGTGGACCTGATTGTGGCTGTTTTAAGCTGCACAACCACAAATGTTCCTCATTCAAGCTCTTGCCCTGATAACGTACAGGAGGAGGAATTTCGTAAAAAACAGAAGGCAAGAACTTCTCTTAAAAAATAGAGGTCACCCGCTCAGGAGAGGAGAGGCATTGGGCACCAATTAAGCCATTCCTGAGTGTAGCTTCATTACCAGCAGTCCCTGTCAAGGCAGCATAAGGAAGGCTCTCTGAGCCCTTAAATGGTATCGGAAAATTCCCCAAACACATGACTGCAGAGACAGTAGAGAGCTTTATCTTGCTCGGCCTGTGAGGGCCCTGCTGCCCAAGTCTCTGATATCTCCCTTTGAAATAAATGCAACTGTCGGAGCCCAGTCTCTCCTCCCCAGGAGCCCTGGACGTGGGCCCCTTATCATGCTGCTAATGCCAGGCATTTTGGCAAAATTCATCTCCTCTATCAACTGTACCCTTCCACTTGAAGACATTTATTTTCTTCCTTTGGGTAGACAATTGGGAGTTTTTCACAAGGGTTAGGAAATATGTCATTATTTTATATTTTTATTAACATCTTTTTCTGTTATATGAGTTGACTTCTTGGTTTCTGTCAGCTACAGCTGAAAGGATTTCTGTGAATTTTCCTTGTTTCAAGGGGAAGGCTGGGCCCTGGGGCTGGAAGAGTCTGTGGTCTGTGCTGTTTGTTGCCTGGACCAGGCCAGAACTTTATTATCACAGTTCAGGGATAATAGAGCCAAGAAAAAGTTCATGTTATATGACTTGGAAATTGTTGGGGGATTATTTTCTCCATCCTCTTCTAAAGGGTCATTTGAGGGGTTTAAATTCTCTGATTTACCTTCTATGTGTTAATTTCCTGGTACCTTAATCTGAGAGTTTCTACCAGTCACAATTTGTAATTGAAGAGTATAGTTTTCCTATGAAAGCTATAAATTAGTTTCATATTAGGGCTGAATACACTGGATATTTTTCCTTCCATTCTTGAGATACTTTGCTACGAAGAATCTTTTCCAGCTCCATCCATGTAAACGTGAAGGGTAATAGTTAAATATTTTACCTCCCAAATCAATTCTCTTTCCTTTGAATATCTTTGAACTCCTTGGTTTGACCATCCATTTCATTCTTATCTGCCCTTGGCCTTGAATGTGAGATATCTTTTCATAACGATGTTAATCTTATCTTTTGGAACTAAGGGGCCGTGTCTTATATTTTTCAAGTACTCCATTGCCTAGAATAATACTTGATCCTAACAGGCTCTCATAAACACTTAAAAATGAAATATGCTTGTCTTTCTGGAAATGAGAAACTTTTCTTTTTTTTTTTTTAATTTGGGACTAGTTACTAAGTATAAAGATAATTAAGTTAAGCCATGACTAGCCACCCATCTCCTTAGGAGGTTTTAATTAAAATACCATAATTGGACATTGCAGGAATGAGATTATTAGGTTTATTTAGCCATTCCCAAAATTATCATGCCTCTGGTATTTAAATCACGTTCATTTATATTCTCATCATAATTGCTGGAGTCCCATTGTCATTGCAGTCTGTTGTTGGCTTTTGAAAGGCCAGAGGCCAGGAGGGATGCTTAATTTGAATACTGGAATTAATTTATTTCTACATACTCACAAGGCCGTTGGAGTTTTTGATTCTGTACACTTGCACTCTGTTAGGTAAGGTTTTCTGTTATTTAAACTTTCAAAAATTCTGTAAAATATTTTGTGTTATTTTTAATTGACACACAATAATTTAACATATTTATGGGATATGGTGCGATGATTTGATACATGTATACGTTGTGTAAAAATCAAATCAGGGTATTTAGCACATCCATTATCATGCATTTACCGTTTCTTTGTGGTGAGAACGTTGGGTATGGCATCTTCTAGCTGTGTTAACAATACATTATTATTATTCCTCCTCCCAGAGTTTATTCCTCCTACCTAACTGTAACTTTATACCTGTGGGCCAACCTCTATTTCCCTCTCCCTGCTACCCAATTCTGCCCCTGGGAATCACCACTCTACACTCTAGATCTTCGAGGCCAATTATTTTTCAGGTTATTGTGAGGGTACAGACAACCAGGTCACTCACCATTTTTAAATTGTTAGGTTCAGTCCCTCTTGGGTTTGTGTCCCCATGCACCCCTCCTACCTTGTGCTCTTTAAGTGGGAACCCACAGATCCCCCCATCTCCTCTTTCTCCTTCCTTGTTCCCCCTCCCCCCCGACTTGGATAGAATTAAATTTTTCTCCTGTGTGGGCATGTGTTAGCTCGTCTACTGGCTTCATCATGAAATTGAGAACATTGGATACTTGCTTTTCCACTCCTGTGATACTTTACTAAAGAGAATGTGTTTCATCTCCATCCAGGTTAATAGAGAAGACATAAAGTCATCATCTTTCCTTACGGCTGAATAGTACTCCGTGGCATACATACCCCACAGCTTGTTGATCCATTTCTGCATTGAGGGGCATTTAGCTTGTTTCCAAATCCTGGCGATTGTAAAGTGGGCTGCAGTAGACATTCTATGCAAATGTCTTTATGCTAAAATAATATTTTTTCTCCTAGGGAGATGCCTCGTAGTGGGATTGCGAGATCAAATGGGAAGT